TTGAGGTCGTAGCCTTTTATTTAATTTGTTAGAAAAATTAAATAAATGAGATTACGTTTAAATACGTGTTCACATATATTTAAATAAGTTATCATTATTATTAAATGTTAATATATTAATTGATTTAATTGAGATAATGATGAACTAAATTTAAAATATCTAAATAGGAGTGTTTAGAAACAAGGGTTGTTTGGGTTAGAGCCCAGACCTATTCCATATGAGAATAGGGCAATTAAATATCACTATAAAAGAAAATGTTTTAATTGAAAAAGGGTTGCGATTTCATTATCTTTTCTTTTCATTGAAAAGAAAAATCCACAGCCCCAAAAACACCCTCTCCCACGCCAGTTTAGTTTTGATTGAAAAATCAAATACTCTTCATTTTCTTCTTTGTTTCTTAAGACTAAAGAAGATCTAGCAAATCCCTCTTTAGTTTCTTGCGATTATCTTCGTGTGGACTACATCAGTTCGATCCTACACTTAGGTCAGTACAAAGTTGGAGAAGCCTCTAAACGTGCGTATGATTTCTTAAACTCTACACTAATTTTCTGCAGATTCTTGTTTTGATATAAACTGTAAATTTTGTGCCCTGATCTTGATTCTATGGAACGATTCGTGTTGTTATTAATTTTTGTTTTCCGCTGCCTCAATGAATCGTTTCCTAACAGTTAAGTCATCTTATATTACTTGATTACCATGTTTGGTTGTCAAGTAATATAAGATACCGGTAATCTTCAAATACCAATAGTGGTTACTATTGGAAATATTTGAGATAATCTGATTATCTCCATTTTCTTTGGTATTCTAAGATTACCAAGGTTATTTATTTATTTTTTTTGTTACAATTCTATCCCTTATTAATAAAATTTTAGGACAATAATGCCCTTATTTTTAAATTTATTTACATAAACATAGCTTTTACTATTTCACCCCAATTAATTAACTGTTTGGATAAAATTACCCTTAAATTCAAAACAAATTGCAGCCCACCTAAGCCACCACCCCCACCCACCTACCACGGCCAAAACGGCATACGGAAGACGGAAAATGGCTATCGTGCATCGATATGGCCATTTGCGGCTAGATATCTGGCCAAAAATGGCCAAATCGTGCCAGATCTGGTCGTTGACTGCCAAATTGACGGATCTGGTCGTTGACGGCCATATCTGTCAAGTCTGGCCATTTCCGGCCAGATCTCTAGCCGAAAATGGCCATATGGTGCACATAGGCCATTTCCTGCCTTCCGTGCGCCGTTAGGTTGCCGGCGGCCGGCAGTGGTTGGGTTGGTAAGGGTTCTTTGTTGATTTTTCAAACTTTTATTATGTGGTTGTTTTTGCTAAGTTTTTAAATACAGGGGGGTTATAATAATCCAAATAATAATCAATATTAAAAAATAATATAATAATAATATTTAATTAAATGACAGTTCAGTAATTTAAATAATATACCCACTAATTTATTCCTCCCAACCAAACATATTAATATAACGTACCCACCAATTAACTAAACACATTTTCCTAAATATTCTCAATAATCTTTAAGGTAATCTAATTTTTTAGTAATCCAACATTCCCAGTAATCTAACATTCCTTGAACCAAACGCCCCTGAAAGTTAGTGTTGGATTGGAGGTTGTTTTTACATTATAGGTTTGGGCCTAAAGAGTGTGAAATTGAGTTTTTTTTTTTTTTTTTTTTTTTTTTTTTTTTTTTTTTTTTTTGGTTTTAAGGTTTTAATTTGATAATATGAATGATTTTAAGTTTTTTTTTTTTTAATGGTAAAAGAACTTAATTATTTTTTTAATAACTGAAGTGTCCGAATCAGCTTATGTGCATTTCGATTAACCTTTAAGGGGAGCTATTCCACAGTAACCCACAATCGTGACCTCTAAGTAAATACTAAGAAATGCATTGCTTTACGTCTAACTGGGAATTGAACTTGAAAATGTGGGTTAGACCATTTGTAACCCTCTTAGTTACCCATAGCGCTGAACACCTATGAATAGATAATTAATAAATTTTTATTATCCTAACTTAATCGTAGGAAGATTCGTTTATTTAATAATAATATATTGAATTTTATAAAAGAAGCTACTAATATATATATCATTTGTGACTAAAAAATGAGTAATTAATATTTTAATTTGTATACCAAATTTCAAATTGAAATTTGTTATGTAATATTCAAAAAGAGGTTTTAGATTAAAAAATACAAAAACTAATGAATTATTTTTTCGTTTTCTAATCTACATTAGTCATAGAATTGTTTTCAAAAATTGTTCCTACATATTACAACAAAACATGCTTTCTTTTAATATCTGTTTTTATTGTTCTAAAAACAAATAATTGTATTTGAAACTTAACCAAACATACACTTCCGGATATTTCAAAAGATATTTTAACGTTGAGTTGAAATATATTATCATTTTTTTTATATTAAAAGGTATTGAAATGTTTTTTTATTATTTTAAGTAACAAAAATACTTTAATTATTTTTTAAAGACACAATGTCTATGTTTTTAATATAAAAATGCATATGTTTTTTATTTATTAAATTCCACTTTTTACTTTTATTCTCCAAATCATTAGATTAAAATAATTGTACAAATTTATATTTCTATCAATTTATTTTACTTAAAATTCTAATTTACAATTCTTCAAACTCATCAGTTAGGATATAAAATTGAAAAACTTTATAGTAACTTTGTTATTATTATTGTAAATATCACATTATGTAACGATCCTAATTGACATTTGTGTTTGTTACACATCTTTGCACTAAAATTATCAGTTAATAACATTTTCGTCCCTGAGTTTGAGAAAAATGTCAGTTTGGTCCAGTGAAATTTGAGAATATCAATGTAGTCATTTTCAGTTCAGATAACTGCCCTTAGAAAATTCTGGTATCTGTTTGATGCTTGAGATATGAAATGCCTATAATGCCCTGTTTATCTTATTAGAAAGAATGAATACTAAATATAAAATTCAGACTTTAAAGATTAAAAAATTATAGTAAAGTTAAATTAAAATGAACAGAATATAAACAATTAAAAGCACATTCACAATGAAAACTAGAATATTAAAGATTCTATTTAAAAAAAAAAAAAAATCTAGTTTTTTTCTTTTTTCTTTTAACATTTATATTATAATTTAAGAATGTTAGTTATATATGTTCTAACCCTTTTATGAATTATGCATTCAAATTAGAATCCAAAACTACATTTCTTGTCTGAAATTTGATGAATCACTGCCAAGTGCGAGCAACAAGACAAGTTGGATGCATTTTATTGTTTGCCTTTCAAGGGAAACCTTTGATAAAGAAAACGTTTACAATGATCCATTTCCAACTCTCATTAACGTGCGTTTAGCACGCCGCACTAGATTAAATTGAATTGGAATAAATTATTGTCAAGTGCGAGACAACAAGACAATTTGAAATGATTATTTAAATAAAAATTAAACTTTTTAAAATTTTAAATAAACAATGAAAAAAAGTTGACTTTTAGAATCTATAAGTATCATATAATAATTCTATATTGAAAATTGTTTTTTTTTTTTTGTTAAATGAATGAAATAATTAGTGCTGAGTAAACCCATGTCCATGGGGGGCTGTGGGTTTATTTTGATTCTTTGAATAGACACCCCAAAATTGGAGCCAAACATGTGACAAAACAAAATAAATACTGTAACGGAACTGTTCATCCGCCTAGTGCAATTCAATACTGCAAAACATACGCGCCCTATTCCATCGTCATTCTTTTACAAATTTTCCCTCATAATATTAATGTGTTAATTCACAATTGATTAATTTATAATTAATTAATAAGAACCATATAAAACTTGTTGTCAATTAACTAATTACGAACTGCCACATTAGAATTATAAGAGAAAATTGGTATAAAATTATGAATAATACTATAAACACCAAAATTTTACACTGAATTTTTATACCGAACCGCAGGAAAACTAGTTAAACGCGATCACGCTAGAGTCTTTTATGAATGAACAACCGTCTAATATTTATAGATGTCTGCCCATATTTAATAGACTTTCGTTTATATTGTATGGACGAGTATCCATTTACTATAAGATGGACGCCCGTCCAAAAAATTTAAAAAAAAAAAAATGGACGCCTGTCCATACTTAAAAAGAAGCTTCCCTCAGCTTGTTTGACTTGGACGCCCGTCCATTCTAAATAATAGCATTTTTCTTTGCAAAACATCTGCAAGCATGAGATCAGATTCATGAACTGCAGAAAGGGCACCAATCAAAGTTGTGTAAGCTGAAAAAGCAGGCCTGAATTGGAGTGTTGTTTGTTGAAAATGTCAAGAGCAACTTTAGTTGTTGAAAGAGTCTTCTTCACCCTTTACATGTTTGGGAATACTTCCATGAAAAAAAAAGAGTGAAGAACCAGGTGTCATGAAAATAAAGAAAGAAACAATTGCTATTAAATAGAGAAATGGACGTGCGTCCATCTAAAAGGATGCCCGTCCGATACTTTTTTTTTTAAAATTGAAACAATAGACGAACGTTCAGCTAATAAGGACGTCCATCTATTCAGTAAGGACGCCCGTCTATAATATATGGATAGGCGTCCATGATTTTTGTTTTCAAATTTTTTTTAGTTTAAATTATGGACGAACGTTCATTATAGGTAGACAGTCGTCCATATAATATGGACGGAAGTCCATTTAAAATAAACGGCCGTCAAATAACAATGAACGGTCGTCCATATTTGATAGACGACCGTTCATTCGCAGAATATTTGTTAACATGCTACGTGATTCGTCTGATTCAGTAGACATATCGTTCGGTGTAAAAATTCCATGCAAAACGTCAATGTCCGTAGCATTTTTCTAAAATTATTCATATATTAATCAAATATTTTTACCAATCTAGTGATGCCAGCAGATAAATAACATAATATATACTTTTATTTATCAGAAATTACATCCACGGTTAAGATTTTCTACCTTAAAATTATTAATTTAAAATTTCACACATGAAAAAACTTTTATAAGATAATAGTATTATTTTATCAAGTTTTCTAATATAAAATTCTCCCAAGGAAATAAACTGCCACAAAAAAAGATCTACAAGATCTGAAAATTACCCTATTTTATCTCGATTAATTCCTTTCCTGATCATCTTCGAAAGAACATAAAATCTAAGACTGTTCAGTAATCAAAGATGAAATGAGGAATGATTGCAATCTATGATTCTGCTTTGGTTCCATGATCTTCAGTTGAATCCCCATTCGCTAATTGTCGGATCTTCATGTCATAATAAACTTCTTCAACCCTTTTTAAGTCATACTTCAAACCTGTTGCGCCAGCCAAGAGAGTAGGATTTCACCAAATCAACTTTAGAATAAGTCGTTTAAAGGCATTTCAGAAATAAGAAGGGCGGATAAAGCTTACTGTCAAACTTCTTGCGCAGAAAATCATTTCGGAGATTAAGCATACGGAAGGCAGAATGAAGATCTGTTAAGAACTTCAATACCTTTCTTGGGCAATCATAGTTCCCGGCAAGCACTTGATTTACCACATACCTTGGCTGCAAAACCGCAACAAATTACAAAATGATTTATTCTACTATCAATTATTTTCGTTGGATGCCAAACTTAATCAGATCACCATCTTTGCCAATATCGAGTTTGCCAAAACTTACCATTTCATTAGAAAGGAAACACAGACCTGCATAATATAAAAAGTATATCCATCAGCATATCTTAAAAGAAAAAAAAAACAGCCATTACCACAGCACATTATAATTCTTGCACCACAAATGGAAAAAGAGCAGCGCCCCAGCCATCAAAAAGATACATTTAAATTGAAAACAGATTCAACTTTCATTAACAAAAAGTATAACTCCAAAAGAACTTAACATTGTCACAAAGTTATTTAACAGAAATATTCTCTAGAAGCTAATACAAACAAAATCTCTTGGAACACTCACCAACAAGGTAGTCCTCAATGTCCAAAGCAAACTCAGGATGGTGCACTGCATCATAAATAACCAAATAATATTTGAACTCAAGACTACAACGCACAGTTGAAGATCTTGGGTAATTACAGAAAGGGAAAAAAATAACATATAGGGGAAGAGAAAAGCAGAAATTGTAATAATACGCATACTGTTGCAATCTCTCTTCCATTCATCATGCCTTACCAGAAGACTATCAAGACAACATCAACTATACCTCCCAAAATAAATTAAAAAGATAAATGGACACAGCATACTCAAATTGAATGTTATATTTTATCCACCATAACATAAAGTCCCCTAATTCTAAAGCTTTAAGAGTCATAAACTAGACACTTCATGCAGATAGCTCCAACCAATATTAAGTCCCAAAAAGCAAAAAATGAATGATAAACTAGTCTGAGAATAAATCAAACAATGGTTCCAGTTCAAAACCAATATGATTGAAGACAGACTTCAGGTCCTGTCTTGTTTGAATGAGGTAAATATATAACTTATCTCAAAATGCTTCTAAGATGACTCACCAAAATCTTATATTGAACTTTAGGTTTCTACTGATAATCGGTGAGGATTGATGACTTGGCTGGCAAAGCATATATGATTCTTTCTAAACAAATTCGTTGAAAGTACTTTGCAACATGATCAAGTCAAGTACTTCGCAACCTTATCAAGTCAAGTACTTCGCAACCTTATCAAGTCACTCATGAAACAGAATGTAATACAAACAGGTAGACAAGAAGTTAGAAGTTTATATAAACATAGATGATTATAAAAAAAGTTCCCTTTTTATGTTCTCTTACCAGTGTATATATCCAAGAACTACTCTATAATGTAGGGATTACAGAACAAGAAGAAATCAATTTCATAAAATCAAGAAGCTGAGACATGATGAAATAAAAAGCGCCAAAAGTAATGGCCAACATACAGCCAAGTTTTTGTTCAACTTCCGCATGCATAAGAAGAGTTCCAGTCTCCAGCCAGTGCATAAAAGCAAGCAGAGAAACCACATTCTGTGTTTCACTTCTCCAATCACCATGATACCTTAAAAAAAAAAAAAAAAAAAAACCACCAACCATATATTACTGAATTCAAATAATCAACAATCCCAACCTTCTAAGAAATTATGCTCACCTGTAATACTCCCCAGGACATTCAAATAGAAACTTAGCCAGTTGACCGTAAAGCTCCTTCAGCACATCAATTTGAGCCTTAGGCTTCTCTAAAACCTCTGCACCCACATCATAATGAAACTTACACCATTTCATTCCTTTTAAAAAATTGTCATTAATATTTAAAAAAAAAAAAAAAAAAAAAAAAAAAAACAAATTTACTCAAACTAATATAAGCGTTTTTACATGTTTTATAGAAGAAGCTAAAAGTTTTACTAAATCTAAATCATTTGGTTACCAGGAAGTGGCCGGGACTGGTGAACAAGAAGGAGGCCAGCGTGCATGAGCCTCGTGGTGGACTCGATCTCCAGAACAATGCCTCTTATTCGCTCACGCACGCTTCCAGACTCTTCCAGCTGGACACGGAAGTCCTCGAACTGCTTCTGCAAAGAGCTCGGCGCGTTGCTCCCACCGTCCGTCATTGAGGAGTAACGTAGAGATGCAGAGAGCGGGCGAAAAGTTTCGGATTTGATGCCAGAGAAAAGCGACGGAGATGGCGGAGGAGCGGCAGTGATGGGAAAGTGGAGAGGAGAGTGTGAGGGTTTATGGAGCGACCGGTGAGAAAGTCTTTTGAAAGCGACGGCGTTCCTAAACGCCGATTTCATGCTTTAAAGTAGATTTTCTTTTTTAATATATATATACGTGTATATATTTCTGACGATCAAATGTTTGCCGCTTGCATTTTAACACTTGGTAATCAACGGCACCGTGTCGTGCCACATCAGCCTAAATTGAATATTATATGAATAATGTAGTCGATTGGATATTAAGCACTTTAAAATCCAAGGGCTCATATTTTTTTTTGATTAAAACCGGTATTAAAAATCTGATATTTGAAGATTCTTAATAAATTTAAGGGTTTTTGATAGTTTTCAAATAGGTTGAGTGTAGTTAAAATTGAACAATCCCACGAGAAATAAATCCATAATATATAAAGAGTAATGCGAGGCCCATAACCTTCTCTCACAACCTTCGATGTAATAATTCGTTATTGGTCAGCTCGTAAAATGAGTCATGCCTGCTTGTATGGGTCTTGTCTACCTATTTGCGAGCTAACCAATAACGAATTACCATGTCAGAAGTTGTGAGAGAAAATTGTGAAAATAATATTATTGATATATAAAACATAAATTCAAAGCAAAATTATGTAGGTTTGATATTTTCTTTAAATAAAAATGGATTTTTACCTTTTTCTATTATTTATACTAGGGGGAACTGATTGAAACCGGAACTGGCAAGTATTTGGGGTTCTGGTTCCGATTCCTACTCGAAACTGGCCCTCACAAGGTAAGTTTCGATTCTAAAAATTAAGAACTAACTGGTTCCAGTTTTGGTTCTCGGTTCCTACAAAGGTGGAAACGAAACCAAAACTAAGATTTGGGTACCCAAGTAAGAACTAGGATTGAATTATAATTTTTGTGAACAATTGGGGGTGTATTTGTAATTTTTGGAGGATTTATTTGTCATTTAAAAAAAGAATAGGGGTAATTAAAATTAACCTGGGTACCCAAAACCTCTGTTTCAGGTTTCGGTTTTTGGCTTCTGGGAACCAAAATCGGCCGGTTTCGATTCCAATTCTAAATCTAAGGAACCGATTGGTTCCAATTCCGGTTCCTTTGAATTTGGGCAGGTACGGGGACCCACCCACCCCTAATTTATACAGAATTGCATTAGCTTATATTTGATTATTTTCATAAATTACATTTTACATTTATGTATTTGTTACAAATCAAATACCTCCTTATTCCTTAAACCATGATACTGACACAAAATTGTAAAATATTATAAATTCTTTTCACTCTTCCATAACAAGAAGTGTAATATACTGTTAGCTATCCTCATTTTCTCTATAGAATAACAAGGTGCAATATGAACTAAAAGCTCCTTTTTCTTTACATTCTTTTCACCTATACAAGAAGCAATTCTTTTTTTTTGCTTACTATCTTATTATTTATCTACATGTCTACCTAACGGTTAGTAGTGAATTCCTATTGCTAAAGAGAATTTTGCTTCTCTTTTGGGTATTTACATGATCCCCTCTCATGTTGAGTTTTTACCATGATACAAGAGACATCAACCGGATTTTTCATTGTTAAACACCATTGAATCAACTAAAATGAACCTCCTAAATCACTTCTTGATAGTCACCATAGATATATAAGCTAAAATGCGACTAATGATGCCTGTAAGAATTAGGAAGATGAGATTATGAGTCCAATCACCAATATGGTACCCGCCTTGCATTAACGAACTGCAACGAGTAATCAGCCAGACTCCCGAGTATCTGAGGAACAAGAAAGATGTTGAGCTTATATCACAGTTCTGGAAACGTATCAGTGGCTTTCAACTCTTAAAATGAGAGAGCTATTGCTTACATAGTTGAAGAATTTAAAAAAAAAAAAAAAAAAAAGGTGATGTCAAATAGTCACAATCAGAATCATTCTTCCTTATGCAATCTGCAATAGTCTCTAGAAGATCACATCTATGGCATATATGTTAATATCTGTGTGTTCTTGTGTTCTCACGCTATAAAAAGACTGAAAAGATAGCCAACACAGGCGAATCATCTCTTAACAACTTCTCATGAGCACGCAAATTTCAGTGTGCAGTTATTCATGAATTATGAAGTAATTTGGTTCTCTACTCCATATATTTGAGGTCATGCCTTCTACCCCGTAAGAAAAAATAAATTGTTCAGTGGAAATGTTCTACTGCATAATGAATGTGTATTTGGTACCTATGCAATCATACATAATGAAAAGAGAATTCCAGTCAGCACAAACCTTTGGGCGTTTGCAATGACAAAAGATTCTAGAGCCCATCTTGTATAGCACAATTTTGCCAAATGTTTTACAATTTCACTATCTTTGTCCTGGGTTGCGACAAGAGTCAAAACAACAGGAAGAAGCACTGACCACTGCAAGAAAATGAGGAAGAATCATCTCATTAGATAAAAGAACATCCTCCAGTTAATGAGACAAAGCAAATTCATATCCTCTAGAACATACCAGTTGGGCAGGACTAGGCTCAAGGATGATTGCAAACACATAAGCTATTCCAGTCACACAATATACAAGGCAAACTAAGACGATGTAATTATCTGCGAAGGTTGATCTGGGATTGTTGAAGAAAAAGAACATTGATAAAAAAACCAGTGGCTTGATGACCGTATTGAAATGATCAAATGTATCCTTGGAAAGAAAATGAGCTAGGCTGCTGATCCCAGATGCAGTCTCTCTTTGATACTGCAACTTGTCCAGAGTAAATGATCTTAATGCTGCGATCTTGCATAGTAGTGCTGCAAATCAGCAAGTTTATGCAAAATAAGACTAGAAAATAGCAATAGAAACATAAATTGAAGATTATATTTCTAAGTTTTTCACAGCAGTTTCTAGTTGGAAAGGACCATGACAGTAGTGTATTATTTGAAATGGATGAGAAGTGGCAAAGTAAAACTTCTAGATCTCTTTGTCCATACCAATAAAAAAAAAAAAAAAAAAAAAAATCAAATTGATTATTATCAAGAATAGCAGCAACTTTGAGTTTTGCAACTTACAAACAGCAATGACAGTATAAGTATAGCCAAGGGAACCAAATGTTTCATCGCTCACTTTCGCAAGAATTCCCAAGCAAGCACCTGCTACTAATAGAATGAGATAATCAACTGCTTGCATTCTGGCATCACGTAGTCGCTGTTTTCCAACCCTGAAAAAATATTTTTCTATATTATAAAATTGTGACAAACTGAAATAAGTTTCATGTAGTCCCCAAAAGGAAACCAGCTCCACCTTTTCAAATAAATGATAAGCTTTAATCTAAAAAGACCAGTTTAAGTAATCGGTACGTTGCCCAACTACTGATTAACTTCCATATTAAAATTCATACAATTTGATAGAAAACTTATGATACCAGGGAGCGAGCATTCTGCCTGAAGTAATGATTATATAATTGTCTGTGACTGAAAAAAATAGCCAATCAAAAGTGTGTAACTTTCTTTTGAAGGTTTTAAATTGTCAGTGTGATATAAAAAGGGGCATGGCTCTGCTCTAGTCAATCATCCATATTATATCTCTGAAGACAATGGTAAACCTTATGTTAATTTTCCTCCATTGGTATCTTAAGAAATGAAGAATTTTGGCTAGCTGCCTACTCGTGTTTCTACATTAGGAAAGAACGATAAATTTTTTTTATACCTCCCAAGAAAATATTTGTACTGACGAGCAATGCCAGGAGTTCTTCTGTTGGATAAATCTTTAGAGTTCAAGAAGTTGTGTCGTATATGATCATGCTTTAGCTCAACATTAGACTTTAGGTCCTGCCACAAGTCTCCAGCAAAAGATTGTTCAGTGGCTCCAGCACTAGGATCTGCTACATGACTGACCAAGGAGGAACAATCTCCATCAACATATTGCAGCATATCTGCAGGCACAGGATACCCATTATGTAGCATCCACCTGACAGGAAGCTGTTGATGATTCACACCTCCACTTGGTTTTACTATGCCTTCTAGAATGTCAATGAAGTGGTCTGGAGGATTAATACGCTCTGGTACAATGATCCCAAGGCCAGCAAAGTATTTTTCAACTTCCTTCACAGATCCGTGATACACGGTCAGACCACCTTTGGCTAGAAGTATTAAATCGTCAAACATCTTGAACAATGCATAACTGGATAAGAAGAAAGCAATGTTATCTTTGCTCTACGCAGATTTTAACGAAAAAAATTGCTATATCATGCAAAAGTTTGTTTATAACCTTGATGAGCAGAGTTAATGGGAAGAACAAGGAAAAGAAGGTCATATGATTTCTTCCTTTACAAGCATACCTTGGTTGGTGAACTACCATGCAGACATTAACCCCTTCAAGAGCTTCACGTCGAAGCGCTCTAAGAAGCAACTGTGAGGATGAGCTGTCCAAACCAGAAGTGGGCTCATCCAAGATCAAGAGTGAAGGTTCTATGACCATTTCAATCCCCACATTAACTCGCTTCCTCTGCCCTCCAGAGATTCCTCGCTTTTCCACTGTCCCAACAAGTGAATCTCTTACCGTCTGTAGTCCCAAGGACTCAATAACTCTTTCAATGACTAGGACCTTATCAGGTTTTGACATACCGGCAGATAGTCTCCATATTTTTGGAATCCCGCAACATCAGTTAAACAAAGTTAGATTGGAACAAAGAGAAACATGAAAATATCAAAAGAATGTAGATGCACTAGTAAAATTATGGGATGGATCAACAACATGAAACCAGACTAATTTTTCGGCAATAATTTGAAAGAAGGTTCCAAAATGAAAATTATAGTTGTAAGAAATTTTAGTAGAAAGGACAAAATTTGGCATGAATAAGACATTGTCATTCAAAGCAGATGGAGAGATCAACTACGAGCATGCCTTTTAAAGGATGGTTTATGCTTGTATAACTGGATATGAGAGGCCTTGTTCATGAAAGATAATAAACATAATAGGTAGCCTGAGTAGCCTGAGTAGCCTTTGTTTCTTTCTCCATCAGCGAAGATCATTGTTGTGGAAGATTAGGTTACATTAACTAAAAGGTGCATGGACTGTGCCACAACCAGATAAATTTTTGATACAAGAACAAGAAAAGGAACCAAGAAAAGAAAACAAGTAAACCATTCTTTGAGTTTATACCTACTACTGAAGGTCAGAGTTTTTGGAGACAAAAATTTAAAGGGCACCAGAGCTCACAACTTAGACAATATGTCTGCTTCCCACAGGAAAGGATAAGTGACTTACTAAATAAATCCTATGGAAATTGCATTTTGAAAGTGATGTTTTTGAATGATAAATGCTCCAAACATTGAAAAAAGTTGTGGCCATAATTAAGGAACACAAGGTCTTAGACTATTTAGAAAGAATTCAAAGATCTGAATACTAAAACTAGGCAGGTATAATTATTTGATTTTCAATATATTTTCCTTTGGCATATATAATGTTAACTGTATGATTGTTTTTAACTTGTCGGCATGAAACAAGACACAGCATGCTCCAACTGATGTCTTTCATAGAAATGGATTCTTTAAAATATTTCTTGAATTCTGGGCTGGGGAGCAAGATCCTGAAAGCTTAAGTAAAATTTTAAAACTATCAGAAAGATACTTAAGTCATTCATCGGAACGAGACTCAAGCCCAAGAAATTAGACGGGAGAGTGGAAGACTGAAGGAGCTGAGTTAGCTGAATTTGTTAACCTAACTAGCAGAAAGATAGTAGTTAATATAAAATTTATTCGTGTAGACCAGTTGAGACCATCTTTAAAGTGATCGCAATTATTAAAATCAAAACCAAGTGATTCCAATTGCAAGAGGCACTACTAATACTATCAAGTTCCTAGTCCTTAAAGGAGGTTAATATTCACAAACAACATGAAGCAAATGCGACAATCTTAAAAGTTAATGACAGCTATTAACATTTAAGAAAAATTCCCCAGTCGCTAATGTTCTATGAGAATTGACACCAATATTTTAGAATCTTAAACAGTAACGAATGCTGTAGACTTACCTGCAGCTTGCATTGAACTGGAGATTCTCCTCCACAGTCAAGTTCCCATGCACAATGTCATCTTGTGGGACAAAACCAATAATTTTCTTATATGAGTGGATAGATTCAACTTTTCCATTTATTAGAATGGAACCTGTCATAGTGCACCCAGTTGCTTTTCCAGCTACAGCAGAAAGGAATGTTGTTTTTCCAGCTCCAGATGGACCCATGACAGCAGAAACTCGCCCAGGCCTAATTTTCCCATTGACACATCTCAGCAGATGTTTGTTTTTTCCTTTCAAAGTTAGGGTAAGATCTTTAAAAGCAACCTCAGTCACAGGCCTGGTCTTGATGTCACCATAAGCAGCCATTGAGACTAATCCTGAGAAAGTCAACTTCTGTCCCTGCTGCAGAGCTTTCTCCTTCTCAAGTTGACCATACGCATACTTGAAAATTTGGCTGTCAGAATGCAGTTTTTTACCTTTAGGCTCTTGCTTTCTAGTATTTTTATCCCCAATCTCCAGATTAAAGCCTTCGAAACCATCCAGGTCACTGTCAAGGGCATGCATCATTTTTTTTAGGCTATTTTCTTCCTTTTTCTTGGCTTTTGAAGCTGCAGATGATTGCTCAAATGAGCTTGAAGTACCTGGAGGCTTTAGGGGCAAAGAAACATTATCAGAGCTAGGATTAGCTGGACCAAAATCCTTCAGCTGCTCTGATTGCCTTGTGGTTTTTCTTTGAGAAAATGTCCGTGATAACTGTTGTTGTAGCCCAGTTGCCCGTTTCTTGGCAACTTCTTTTGCATGTTTCCACTTTTCACGTGCTTGTGTAGTTTCTCGTACGTGCTTTACAGCAGCTTCTCTGCGTTTAGCCAGTCTTCTTTCCCTAGTGCTGAGAACTTGGTCAGACCAATTATAAAGAATGAGCAGCAGAGTAATCAATGCAACCTACATTGGCGTGTCAAGAAATGTCATATGTTATCACACTAAAACAGGTGCTAGCAGGTCATCTAAAATTGCTTGCTTTGCAAGTGCAAGAGGACACTCTGTATTAAAAATTTTGGAGATTTCACTACGATGTTACGAATTTATTATTCTTTCCTTTTTCTTTGTTCAGAGTAAAGAGTGATCAAGACTTTGGGAACAAAATTTTGAGATGCTACTAGTATATGATCAGTGAAGTAGAATGTATACAGTAAAAGGGTAGGAATATATTGCCGCATAACACTTTCCAAATAAATTAACCATAAATGCATTCAATGTTCTGATTGAAAATCTTAAGAGAGTATCAGACACGAACTATAAGTTGAAAGCCACAATTGAGAATACTTTAGATTGTGCATAAACAACTCACCATATAACCAGGTTACAAAAGAGTTTTTAAATGAATTTTTCGTAAACACTTACAAGAAGCATGACACCATAGGCATGGATATTTTGGTTTTCAGTATTTGAATTACATGTAGCCAACTTGAAGCATGCTGCAAGACAGTAATATAAAAATCTAGTCAGTTATCCAGTCATTCATAATTCAACCAAAAGCATTAAGCAGGCTTTCAAGACTCCAATGAAAACATAGAAGATGTGACACATGTAACCATTTTGATGATATCTTACTCACACACAACAACTCAATTTTTCTTTATTGAAGAATCAAAATATTTTGAGAATCATATCCATATTTGAGTACACCAGACTAAGGGTAAGCTTAGGAATGAGTGCTTGATTCATAAATTACAAAAACCACAAACAGGCATTAAATATTCAGAATTTGTTGAAATATAATTCATCCAACACTTGTTGCTGTAATCGATCGCCATTCTCTAAATTTTTCTACCTAAATTTGATTGATTTTGAATTGACTAACATATAATATAAGATCATGTATGAATTCAACATATACTGATGGAGAATTCTAGCAAGAAAGGTCAAGAACTTAGATTTAAAGCTGTAAAAATCATAAGCCAATAAAACTAACTGAACTTACGTTCTTGAGAAACGGAACCCCTCCTGCAGTAATGTCTGCAATTGCATGAAACATAATATTAGTGAATCTAGATATGGATCATCAAACAGTTACACTATATCATCAATTCATTTATTGAGATAATTATATGAACTGTTCATAGTAATTCAGAGTCCAAGCATTAGAATATCTTGCATAAACTGCTACAGGTGGCAGAAAAAATGTGAGTTCTGGGATAAAATCAGTACCCAGCGCTGCAAGGAACTATTCTAGTGGTAGTTGGGCAGTATGATCCAGGGGAGCAGAAAAGGTCACTACTCTCAATATCTGCCCAAATATGTGCACCACCACAAGTATGATTTGGTTTTCCAGGAGGAACTTGGTAACTGTATCTGCAATTTTTATCATCTGATAAACATTAGTGCATAATATAGATTATGAGAACCTAGGAGAGGAAGACAAAGAATATGAAGAACGGACGTGAACTTACGGGTCACATGCTCCAGTTGCTTTATTTAGTCTTGCAAGTGGACAGTGAGATCCTAGTGGGCAAGCTTCATTCATATGAACATGGAAAACAACAAAGGCATTAGATACCTTTTGCTTCCATGAGTAAAGGTCCATTGCATCAACTTACATATTATACAAAACTGGCATCAAGGTTTTTGAAATATTTTCTGAAGAACAAGTTAATCAATAATCCCACTGTTTAGGGCAACAGCAGGTCATATGCTTCCGAGTTAAAAGAGATGAAATCCTTCCCCAAGTATGAAAGAAGATAATATAATTCACTTATTAGTCTATTCCTTTTGTTTCTCTATAAATGGTTTCTAGTTCCATAATATAATTCTCCTATCACCAGAATTAATGAACTTTGGCTGATCACTATTCATGTTTTCTGAAATTAGGATAAAAAAAATTGAGGAATTTCTCTTGTATTTAAAACTCCCACAAATAAAAAAATTATCACCGTGTTCAAAGCAAATGGTTTCATAAACAATATAGAAGAGATAAAAGTGAATTATGAACCATCTAAGAACAAAGATGTTCCAACCAAAATAAAACATGAATATATGCTAACAATAAAAATAGGATCATCTTATACTTACGTATCATGCAAGTAAGACCCCGTGGGCAGAAGAACCCCTCACAACAAGGTTGACAAGTCTGAGTCCTAGAAGGAATGACTTTTGAATTTTGAAGTTCAACATGTTGGTTAGCACTACAACCCCATCCTGGTTCACATCCAGAAACCCATGAGGTCAAATTGCAGTTCTTGTTTGGTTTCAAGTAACTGGTTGTTTTTGAACCCCTCCCAAATAAACTGTTGAAGTAGAATTTTATCTCCGCTGCTGTACATAGTCGTTGTGCAAGATCCTCTGCTAGTAAAAATGATACCCTTCATTAGAAACAAGGAGAACTATTTGGATTATAGATATATTTCTGCCAGAAGTGAAGAGAAATAAAATGTTTGTGCATGCCATCAAACTACTTAGACAAGAAATGCTATGGCTAAATTTTATCAGCCCGCAATTCTCCAAGTAGTTGGCAAGAAAAAGGAACATATCAAGACACTGACTCCAATGATCATGTACCAACAGCTTGACAGGATGCGAGTTCACGTCATTTGGAATACTCAGCAGAGAAATAATCAACTGAGTGAGAAAACTATAAACATGTATTGTCACTAGCCCCTTTTTCAAGGTTTTGTATAAAAAGTTCAATTGTGCTTATACACACAATTATGAGCATCATTGCAGCACTCTATCATGTATGAATTGAAACTTCAAGAGCATCACCGCAACACCAATACATAATGTCATACCTTTTGTTTTCTTGATACAATTTGTCAAAAAATCCAAATCTCCTTCAAAATTAAATGCTTCATTCCAATCAGCATCACTGTAAAACAAGGAGTTCAGGTACTAAAACCAAATAAAAAGAAGAAAAATAAACACAAAAAAGCAACCAACGAAAGAAACTCTGGATTTACGCACACATTCTTTATGCAGAAGCCCAACTGAGTCTGGATATCACGGATTAACACTTTAGTGAGATTGGAAAGGCGGGCATAGATGAACTGTGTAACTAGACGAGAAATGGCTGGGTCTCCTGTCTTACTATAGGCATTCTCATCCACACTCCGCACAATTGGAAATAAACTTAAAATTAAAATTAGAGACAATATAACATGGGGTACCCAGTAGATATTAATCCGAACTTCACTCATTTCTATCCTCTAGAACTCTCCCAATCACAAATTTAAGCAAAAACCATCTAATAACTTGATAACAAAATCCTTGAATAATGTAAGTCCAAACGGTGACTGACTACGGCATTGCCACTAGCCAGCAACAACCTTTAAATACTTCCAATTTAAATAATATACTAGTTGGACTCAAAATATGACACTTCACGTGTCAGCAATCAAGATTTTGAGTAATGGGATGCTAAAATCTCTGCATAATACCAGTGCGATTAACCGTGACACCTCATCACTTCATTATATTGAAATACAGGGTGCTTGAAAATGCTAATGAAATGCTGAAATGTTGTAGAAGAATTTTTGGCCAAAAGGGTTTGAGTGAATTTTTTTGGGTCTTGGAGTTGGTGGAGAAATGGAGGGAAGCAATGAGTGGCTATATTACAGGAGAAACTGCTATGTGATTGTGTGCGTGCATAGCAACTGAAATAACTAACTGTCCTATGTGTTAGCTTCTAAACTGTACATCTACCTTATATTTCTACCTTTGGATCATTGAGAAATTACATCAAACACTTTACATTCATTTCCAAACGAAATATCTAATTCTTCGAGATTAAACTGCACTCTGTTCTAACCAAACCCACTTTTGGATTTTTGGTAACCGACCTTCACTATTTTGAATTAGAAATGATAGCAGGAGATTTCACACCATTATTTAACCAAAGCATGCCCAACATACCATTATTATTCATTAACAACTTTATTGTCATAATCAAAACATTATCATTTCATAAACAACTCTGGTTAGATGTTAGATTGATACAAATGTTTAATTTAAAAAAAAGTAGAATATGAGAGGACAGGAGTACGAGAAGGGTCAATGATCATACTGAGATTGCACCGGCTAATTATTAAGTAGTCCCTTGGTCGATGACCTGTACGCTCTACCCTTATCAAATTTAATTCCCCTGAACCGTTGGTCGGACCCATTCAAATCGGATATGAATTCAATTAGCCAAAACTTGAAGGGGTTAAATAAATTTGATCAACTTATGAAACACTAGACCATATCAATCAATACATTCCAATTTCTTAAATTACCCTTCCATTTTTTATTCATTTTCGCTCACTTTTTCAAACTTTTAGCCTAAATAAAATAATTTGATGAAAGAATGTGGGGCTTGCTCATTGCTGTGGTTGAAGAACTGACTTGCTTTGGTATTCTAGTAGCCGTGTATGGACTTTTATCTCAAGATCATAACATTTGTTTTCTCTTTACATTCATTCAAATTGGAATTTTGTAAATGGAACAAGTTTTTACAAACCCATCTGTCAAGATTGATAATTGTAAGTTTCTCATTTTGACGTAGCGAGTAGCGTGATAAATCAAGGTTAGTACTTGACTACGCCTTTAGAACTGATAACACAAGCCTCAATCCAGAAACTTAAAGCTTAAAATCGAAAAGTCAAATCTAAATAATTTATTAAATTCTCTTTAAAACGAAAAATTGGTTTATATAGGGTGACAACCAACTCTAGTAGGACTCCTAATAACAACAAGAAACAAAAACTAAATCAATTAAAACAAGAAAATCCGAAATAAAATAGAAAAAAACGTGCAATTAACTAAAACAGCCTCGAAATATGTCAAAACAGTGGATTTTGACCTCGAAAATGACCTCCAATTGATTGAAGTGGTTGCCACATCGATAGGCTCGAAATAAGCTTTCCAACTGTATCTTACAAACCCTGTAACTCTTCCCGAATAAAAAGTTATGGTCATTTGAATGGGGCATGCTTAGACTTGGCAAAATGGATCTAGACCTGTGGGTCGGCCCGTACCCGGGTAAAAAATATAGGATACAGGTCTAATAAATTGAACCTATTTTTTATGGACCCGTACCCAGCCCGACCCGTATACCTAACGGGTTATTGGGGTGAACCCGCGGGTACCCCTTTTCACAAATGGTAAAAACCAAAAAGTGACCCACTGACTTACCTTAACTCATCTCTCTCGCGCTTGGCCGCCTCTGCTCTGCCTCTCATCTCTCTCGCGCTCACCTCTCAATCTTCAACGAATCAACATAACATTCTCTCCCGCCTCTCAATCTCTGATCAGTCTTCGATTAATCGTCACTCGTCACTCGTCAGTTATTACTCATCAATACGACAGTCACCTGATTCATTCATCCAGTCCGTCATTCCCATTCCCAGTACCACAGTCGCCGGTCGCCCTCACTCATCCTCGTCGGCTGGTCATCTCCTCTCTCTCAACTTCCTCTTCGATTAATCGTCAGTCATCATCAGTATGTTTCTAGTTTCTACACATTTCCTGTATTTTGCCTTGGTTTTTCCGTTTTTTCTTTCAAATTTTGTGTGTTTGTTTTTGTTTTTTTGACACATTTTGTGTTTTCTTTTTTGTTTGAACGATTAATGTAGGTTATTGCATATTTTTGCTTTCGTTTGATTGGGATATGATATGGGTCATATGACAATAGATTTACAGGAACTACATGAAATTGGGCTTCTTTATATGCACAAATTGTAAAAGGAGAATGTGTTTTTACAGTTTCTCTTCCCATGTCTTGCATTTGCTTTTGTTTTTCTTCAGATTTTGTTTTGGACCAATTGTCTCCATGTATATCAATCTAAAGTTAAGCCTGGTGTTATGATTTCAAAGAACATGCCAACCTTTAAAACTAGCTTTTGGTGAAGAGGCAAAAAGATTTTGCTGGTAAAGATTTTGAGTGGCTTTGTGTTTGTGTCTGTTAATCATATTATAATGGTGATTAGAATAGAGTGATGACATTGCTAATGAGGTTAATTAATTTAAGCACATGAAAAAGAATTGGTTAGAGCTCAATTGGTTATTTAATCTTTGGCATTGCAAAGCTCTTACATGAAGAACAGTCAATAAAACAAACAGAGACCCTTGCCTTCATTGGTTGGTTAGTTATGTTCTTCCTTAACTTTCTTTGATATAGATTTTGGTGTCTTTCCAAAATGTTATTGATTTATCTAACAATAAAAGTGACCTTATCAACAAAGTATGGAAGAGAAAGAAAGGTGTCAAAAAGTGGAGACGTTTACAGCTATGGTATTATGCTGATGGAAACATTTGCTGGGAAGAAGCCAACTGACGAAATCTTTTCTGGGGAGATGAAGCTGAAGCATTGGGTTACTGAAGCACTACCTGGTTCAATAACAGAAGTTTTGGACACCAATTTGCTAACAAGGGAGGATAAAAATTTTGCAGGAAAGGAATAATGTCATCTGTTTTGAATTTAGCTTTGGAGTGTACAAGAGAGGCACCTAAGGAGAGGATCAACTTAAAGAAGTAGCAACTAGACTCTTAAAAGCTAGAGTCAAATTGCTCGCAAATACGGCAACAGCAGGATGCAGAAGAGTCTGAAATCTAAATGATATTATCTAAATATTGTTCTTTATCCTAACTGGAGACATTTTGTTTTGATGGGAGATGGTTCTTTATACATTGCTGCTAATCCTGTGTGCTTCTGGTCTGTTGGTATGTTTTCAGCTTTTCTTGTTTCCAGAAACCCTTGATTCAGATCTCTACCATCTATGTTAATTAATTATTTTGTCAAAAATTCAGTTAACTATGGAGAGATTTTGATATTAGAGCATTATATCAGTACATGTTGAATGTTTTCTCGTTATGATTAGAAATATTCTAGAGTTTATGTGTGCATCACTAAGCATATACTTGGATATTTATATAGTATTATTTTTCTGAAGACAGTTATTAGAGACAAAACCAGTATGACTATTTTCTATTTGTAAAAAAGGAGACGTCTGGTTCCAAGCTCGGTGGTGGCTCTGTTTCCCTCCGCTTTGGCTCTATCTATGATCAGCCTTTCCTTGTTTTTAACATTATTCTAATTTCATCATTTACTAGTTCATGGTTGCGATATCATGCTCTACTTTTGGCATTAATCCATAAGTTAAATATTTCATTCGGTAGTAATTTTGCTCAATCAATAAAATGTTATGCTTTCTTTCTTTTAATTGTTGAAGTTCTACTTGAATCAACAGTAAACCTTGGGTTGAACTGTGTCAGATATTATTTTATATCAAATTTGTTGAAATTTTCTTCTTGCAAAGTAATTGGTGATCATTTAAATTGAAAACCTACTTGTTATCAAAGTAACTGGTATTTCACCTTATAAACCAAAGAGTTCTACAAATTTTATAACTGTATGAGATTTACATGAAATTAACTATCTCAAATGAATCAGCAATGTTATAGTTGCCAAAAAATGTATACTGAACTAAAATTGCAAGAATTTTGGGGTGTAACTGTCATAATTGAAAACTATTAGGGGTGAAACTGTAAAAACTAAAACTTGGAGGGAGAAAAAAACGGGTACCCGCAGGTCCACCCGTACTTGTATAGGATAGGGTACGAGTCCAATATTTTGGACCCGTGTACCTTGACCTGTATTGGGCCCGTACCCATTTGGCTCGTATCCGTTTGGACCCGACCCGTGGCCTACCAGCCCGTTTTGCCAGGTCTAGGCATACTCATTTAAGCCCTTTAGGCTTTACGCACGGACTTCTGACATTCACCCCACTCTATGATTTCATCTGCCAGATGTTCTACGTCAGTCCCTTCCACTTGAGAAAAACTCGACCTCGAGTTAAGTTGGGCATCAGGATACAAGGGTTTCTCGGAGGAGTGAAATGGGTAAATATTCGCCACGTTAAACGTTTTGGAAATTCCCATTGTGTTTGGCAGATCCACAACGTAGGCATTGTCATTGATCTTCTGCAAAATCTGGTAAGGCCCATACCTCTTAGGCTGCAGTTTATTATACGCCCCTACTAGGAACCTTTCCTTTCGAAGAAACACCATAACCTGATCGCCAACTTCAAAAGTCTGTTTTCTGCGATGTTGGTCTGTAGCTTTCTTGTATTTGGCATTAGCTTGCTCTAACTTCTGCTTCACCTCTGCTTGAACATCTTTCCACTGAGTAGCCATACTTTTTGCTGCTACACTAACACTA